ATCGTAATATTCAAATAAACTTATCTAGCACACTTCACGGAAAGGCAGCGCCAGAGTTTAGAGCGGTCGACTAAGTCGAGGGCCTCTTTAATACCGAGGAAGACAGAGATGATGGGTCTACGAAAAGAATACCGGTGCTCCAACATTTGACGAAAGGGTGAAAATATGGTTTGTAAAACCTCGACCAAGTCTAAAACCAGCCGGATTCTCACGCATGCACCCTTCACGCCCGGCAGACAGTCGGTGGAGTATAACGCCAGTAGGGAGTTTAGAGACAATATTGATTAAACCGATTCTTCTGTGGTTTTCACAAGAGGACCTGTCACCTTTCTTGTAAAACGGGAAAGATGACCGATCCACACCATTTAGCTGGAGTTTATTCGCTCTCCCATACAGAACCCAGGAGGTTCGTGAACCAAGACCAACGTAAGGAGAGTTGGGTTCGTAACAAATCGTGGTCCGTATCCACGGATGTTGACTAGTGAGAGCGGCAGTCTTGAATTGACCCCCTCTAGCAGCAACTGATGGTGATATGGTAGACTTCGGTCCAGAACTGTGACGAGTTGGCGGTTTCCAAGTAAGGCGTTGTTTCTTGTACGAGGAGTTGGTACTTGGCAGAAACAACCTGTGTTCCGCGCAGAGTTGAAGTCGGCGATCTTAGTCGTTCATCCGGTTGGCTGGGATTGCATGTAGATCGCCAAAATGGCCTTCTGATTCATTCAGTGATCGCACTTGAGCATTGAAGTCTCCGGCAACTACTACTACGTCATTTTATCGAACACCTTAGAGTAATTGAGAAAAATCCCTGTAGAATTCCTCCTTGATTTCAGTTGTACTGTAATCAATCGGTGAATGCACGGATGCGATGANATGCGATGAATAAGCATCAACGTTTGGTTCTGTTACTAACTCATACTGATCCATTGAGACGCGCAGCGCAGTCGACTACTAATCGAAATCCAGCCAAAGAACGAGCGGTCAGCCTTGGTTCGTAGCGCAATCCCAACACCAGCAACACAGCCAGCTTCGGATACCGAGTCGCCTGACACAAATAGTGGAGTGTGGGGACGAGGTTCANTACATTAGGGTGTTTCGGAGACAACATAGGTCTAAATTGAAAGTTTCAAGAGTTCTGGCTAGAACAGCTTGTTGACCGATCGGGTTGAGGGTGCAGACACTGAACGCGGCGAAGTGTAAAGAGACTTTCGGCTTCAGCAATCCTATAACTTCTGATTGGTTGACCTTAATGGTATCCCCCGAAAGCCTCCTTATGGTCGGGGGTTGGTGTGTAGGATTTCGGCTGGTTACCCCTCTCTCGCAACTCACGAAATGCTCTCATACACCCAAGCGTCTCAAATAGCTTCCGCTGAGGAAGCCCTATTCACTGCTTTCCAGTGGCGGAGGTATTTTCCCACCAAAGTAAAAGAGCGGAAAACCAACTTCCGGGATCATAACCGGGTAGGCGAACCACTGGCAATTGGCCTGGGGTAGTCAGCTAAAATCCCTTGTAGTGGTCATCGGCTCAACTGTGCACGGCGGTCTATTGGGTGCCTTGGACGTTTGGACCCGTCCGAAGGGCGAATGGTCAGATGAACTGGACACCGGCCCCCAATGGATTACGCTTTTCGCACACCGCCCCGCTGCCTTACGGGTCATGCTTTGGCTAGCCGAAGGCTCCGTTTGTGAACTCCCTAAGAAAATTTTGGTACTTTGGCTGGGGTAACCTGGTAACCAGTATAGTGCCCTCAAGAAAATCACGGAACTTTTTTCTTTTCATAAAGATTATACAGTGATTTGTTTGACAATCTGAATTCAGGTATGCGTGAAAATTAACAGTCGTCGTCAGTCCTAAAATAACACTACTTATGAGTAGCAGATATAGAAACGAGAAAACTGAGGCTGCTATATTTGGAACCAATAGGTAATCAAATTTTAATCCCATGGTAAGTTTTCAGTGTCAGTAAAATAGTCACAATTCCCATTGCATGTAGTTCAAAATAAGTTCAAAAACCCAAATTATGTAAAGCACCGTATACTGGTAATCTCATAAAGCTTTGATGGGTTGTTCATTCTGAATAAAGTAGTACAGCACGAGTTATGCTGTAGTTTCCACACTTATTTACATTTACTACATAAATGCGTTCATTTCTACCATTTTAGTCATCATAAAACTGTAAAAGTATAACATTTTATCACCAAACCTCTTTCTCGGTCGTCGTCACAATCAGCCCCGAGCTTCTTGGGTGTCGATTACCTTTATTTGTTTACATCGACTACTCATTATCCACTTATTAAGCAATAATTTTCTGTAAAATTATTGAAATTCTCCTATTGACCCCGGAACTCCTGACACACCATCTGGGATTCATCCGCTTGACCTAAGTGAAACTGATTTGGGGTACCACACTTGATGCAATGGTCTTATTCTTCCTCCGTATGAATTTTCCACTTCTGGTCAATAGCACTCTCATCCCAATAAAACCTTTTCCAGTTCACCTCGCTTATTCCCCGGGTTTGGATTTAGTTTAGTCTTTTTTAACATGTGTTTGTGCAACTAATAATTTTGTACTTTCTTGCATTGTTTTTGATTACTGTCATTCGATTACGGTTTTGGTTGACCAATGAAGGAGTAAACCAAAGAAGTAAAATGCGGGAGAAGTACCAAGGTCAAGGTGCTGTAAAACTATATGTGCGTAAAAAGTGAGTTAGTGCATGAACTACGCTGTTCACGGCACTCATGCTTATCACTCAGTATCTTTAACCATTGCTTAGGTTGATCATGCTGTTCCCAAACAAACCATTCGACCTAGCCCCTCCCCCCTGGTTAGTTTTCGTACTCTCAAACCAGNAAAAATGTTTTTATCCAACTTTTTTTACCACTCACGGTGGTTCGGTTATTTTTTCGTATTGTATGGTAAATGTCGGACAATAGAGAAGTTGAACCACCACAGTGATCCATACAGCATCGATCCCATTGGCTCCAATTTCGAATCATATCCACAGCTGTTTTCAACTAACGGTTTTCAGTGCCCTCCTTGTTCCACTCCAGTAGGGGACAGGGTTATATGAAGCCTAAATTGGCCCGGTTGTCACTCAGATGGGGGTTCATACTCCCCCTCATGCGCAAATCGAACGCGATAAAGCAAACGCTGTGCCGTCATCCGCGGTAAGTTCCCTAATCACAACAGTCGACCAAGTGGGATGGTTAGCCCAAACAGAGTACAATCATCTTCAAATACTTTTTGGCGCATTGCGTCTCCGCTTACGCGGTGTTGCCACTATGCACGTGGGTGGGTTCGTAGACAATGATTAAATACGGGTAGTCAGTACAGGTGTTCTCTAACTGATCAAGTTTCATAGCCAAATAGCAGTACTGATCGAAAGGTGCTGTTGCCTACCCTGCCTTTTCGGTGTGGCCCAATGCCACTCCACGCCGACACCACAGATATCTTGGATTTAGGAATGCGAAAAAAGTCTTCGAAAGATGCATTTAGATCTCGTTTCCGAAACACCCACCGTGATCAAGCTATAACACCTTTCTTGCCGTGTATTTGGCGCGCAAAACGTTGAAATGCAATTCATGCGCTCATCCATCAAGTGATTTAAAGTGTCTGGGGCGACTTCAGATTGGTCTCCCAACGAATTATCCTTCTGATCTACTGTAAGTCAATAACTCTGGCACCTGGTGAAGGTTCCACATCACATTTAGTAAGATGTCACAAAACTCTAAGGTTGTTCGTTCAAGCGAGGTTAAAGAAGAACGAGAAAATGGGGCGTCCCTGTGGAACATCATTCGGTGCGAAAAACGACGAGGAAGACTTCCCACACGTCACTACTCTGATCAAGGTCTGTTGGTACAGAGCTTCCAGAAAGGAAACATTTCTAAGGTATGCTGTCCTGCAACAGTCAGTTCGATAAAGCTTAATCAAAGGCAACCTTAATGGGGAGAATTCGAAGAATTTGGCGGTGTTTAAGTAGCAGGCAAAAGACAGATTTTATCCATGTAACTGCAACACTGGAGCACGCACATGAGAGAATACCGGCGGAGTATGAAGATCATGAATTTTGGTACCGCCGCATGTGAGGATACTTGGTTTTGGCTTATCAAATACTGCGGAACCCAAATTATTCATGTCGGCCGCTACCCACGTTGTTGTCCAACATACACCTTAGGGGACATCGTTTCAAGTCACTGATTCTAAAGTGTCAACTGGAATGCCGGCATCATTCTTTTGCAGTCGGAGTGTGCAGTACTTGGAACACTCTTCCATCTCATGTCGTTTTTGCACCCTCTGTTGAATCTTTCAAGCGGAAACTTGATGAAACTCTGGCACATTTCACATTCCTACGCAACCAAAAAACTTAAGTTAGTTGTAGAATACATTATTTGTTATCTCCTACCTGGAACTCTATGTGACATTTTATCATGGTTTTGTTGGGAAACGATTCAACTGTCTAAATGTCATCTGGGGGGCAAGATAAATAATCCTCATAATAAAACTTTGACTTTGATTCCTTTGAATCGGGCTAATTCGGCGATAATTGAAGCACGGGTTGCCACCACCGATGTTTAATATGAGTGGTGGCAACCCGTGCAGAGATAAATAAGTAAACACTACTATAAATACTATTTGATCATGCACCGCAAAGAAAAGCTTACTTTTAGAACTACGTGCACGAAGTTCTGCCTGAGTGAGTCCCTCCACCACCACTCGACTTTGGCGGTAGGCAATTTTTCTGCCGTCCGGTTTAATACCACGCCTGACTTAACGGGATCTTATGTAGTTCATCACTCCAAGTCCCGGGGCTTAGATTACTGGTTCCCACCGTTGAGCAGCAGGTCCTCGTGACTATGGGTTTCGCCCCGTCTGCTGTTCATCACGCCTAGGTGTGTAATAAAAAAGACAATTGTTCTGATTTCACTTATATATTTCCCATCGAAACGGTTCATGGGTTTTCCACTCAATTCGTTGTCATGTTTCAGTGATTTCGACTTCACGATGCAGGCTGCAGATAAACGCCAAATGGAGAGTATAAAGACTCTTTACAATGCATTGTACAAATTGAAACAGAAAGTACAAGATTTAGCCGTCAAAGCAGATTCACAAGGACATAATTGTGATTGGCCTCGCTATTTGAGCACACTGGCCTTGTGCGCATCGGAATTGAGCGAAATTCGCAAGGTTCTCGAATCCGATCGCTTTGTCAGCGAGCATACGTTGGTCTTAACACCAACATTGCTGAATCCAGAACCTGATCCAACATTGGCCAAGGCAACCGAAGAACGACTATCACTTTTCAATCACGATACCGTTCCACAGTATTTGCGTACGAAGCTAGATCCGAAGGTTAGTTTCGAGCTAGTGCAATTATCTTCTGCACAGCCATTACATGTATCTATACCTTTATTCAGAGTATACCGTTGATGATCACTGTTCGCTAGACTGAACATGTAGCTTTATTCACTAATGCTTAAACTGTGAGCTGTTCTGCCAAAGAAACTTGTGAAAAACGTTGATGAAATTGCTCAAGATCACGCTGGCTGTGAGTGTCAACTATTGACCCCGTCACAAATTGAAGCTCGCCATAATCACTGATAAGGTTCGCCTGGGATCGCCATTTTTGACCGCAAGAGGGTCTGTAAGCTTTTTTTTGTGGGTGTACGTTCGTGTGTGTGTGTGTGGTAGTGTNTGTTTCGCGTATCGGTCTGCCACCGTTCTACTCTCAGGTGGTCCGTCAATATGATAGTCGATAATTTGGTGCAGTCTCCTTTTGGACAATGGTTTGTTCATTAGTTATATATCAAATAAAAGAAAAAAAGATTGGTTATGTATTGTTCCGTAAGGAGTTCTTACACGTCTCTCAGTTCTGCTTATGGGTCCATCAGAATAAAACAAAACTACATACCGATTTGGATTGTTCACATCACACATCACAATGACTGCATTTTAATGTTTTCTCATATTTCAATTATCTCACAGTTGGAAACCCAATGCCAAGCGCAGTTGAACCGAGCGTCTAGTATGCCCTCGGAGCAGTTGACCAAATTGGTGAATCTGGCCAATCGAGCAATCGATTCTAGCCTGAAGGAAGTTAATTTGTTAAAACAAGAGTTGGAAGCTGATTTCTCGGATCGACAAAATAAAAGTACCAGCAGTGCAGATGATTTGAACGCAATGGTTGCTGCAATTACCCTCGGAAAAGGTTTAACATCCTTCAAACAATGACTAATTTCTTTCTTTCGTTCTCTTCTTTCCATGTACATAAACAGCTACTGTTTTTATATATTCTCATTCTCAGAGCGTTTTGGTTTTTGCTCTCTCTCTCTCTCTCTCCAGAAAAGAGAACAGGCGGAAGAAATGTCGGAAGGGGTAATATACTTGCTAGTGAAAACTAACACTGATCAGTGTTGAGCTTAACCACAAAAAATTCTATCACGGTATTACGGAGTGGGGTGGGGAAGGGTTGGGTTTCTAAAATATTCAGCCGTTTGTTTTCCGTTTTACTGAATACATCCTGCGGTTTACTTTCAAGCGCAACGACACAGCGGCATTTTCTAGGAATTGCTTTCGTGGATTGTTCTTCTGTTCCTCCAACAAAGGTGCATTGTCGACAGGTGCTGGAGCGGTCCTAGGGTGCAAAGGCTGAAATAACGAAGGTACACTGGCAATTGTGTCATAGTTTATGAGCTTGCCGTACGCGGTATCAGTTTCCGGTATTTTGTAGATTAATTCCTTGGAATGATATTTTGTCATCGTCATCATCATCATCATCATCATCATCATCGTACTGCGAAATGCAGTAAAGCAAACTTCACTGATCGCTGCGAAACTCGCAATTTAAGGTGAACAGGGGTTGAATCTATTTTGAGGGAGGGAGAAGATGAGCCACTATGGTCAACACAGAGTACGCAATCGAACATACAATTTCTAGCATTCTGACCTGATANCTGCTGTCGGTTCGCTGCCATATCCTTCAATGTCTCCAACCAACCAGTTGTGGAGTCTTTCGTACCCCAACCTGGAAGGCGCCATACACCTACTCTACCTAATGGCTCTGTGCATTTCTTCATGCCTCGTCTCCACGTCATCTGTTGACCTCCACGTGGTTTCCTTCAGCCCGGATTAGCTACAGCGAATAAAGCGTGGTGCGGCAGACGATGGCTGGGCATATACAATACGTGCCCTGGCCAGTGAACCGTAATCATCTGAACTCGATGTGCTAGTAGGTTTATACCTGGTAGACTCCCAAACACACGACGGCTTACCTCCACGTTACTAACCAGTTCGCTCCATCCAACGTGGGTTAAACTGCGTAAACACCGATAATCGAAAACTTCTATTCGACGGATATCTTCTACTCGCAAATTCAAGGTCTCACAGCCATAAAACAGAGCTGAACGAACGCTAACACAATATACACGACCTTTCAACTTCAGTGAAACCTCGCCGCTACGCCAGAGGCGTTTCAGTCCTGCGTATGCTGCTCGAGCCTTGGAAATGCGGGTGGTTATCTCTTTTGCTGCGTTACCGTCATTTGTCACGCGACTACCCAAGTAAGAAAAATAATCCACCATAACTAAATACTGATCAGTTAGTTTCAGAGCGGGAGTAGACGAATCCAGTCCTGCAGCATCACTTTGCACTTTGAATTTGCGAAGCACATACCGAATGTGGCTACTGCACTTGTTAATCTATCAAGTGCTCTTAGCGCGTTCTCCATACATTCGAACAGACAGACGATGTCATCGGCGTACTCTAAATCGCACAGCTTTTCTCCAGCTGCCCATTCAATACCTACGTTTTGGAGTCTCTTTAGTGCGCTCTCCACTACTTCATCTACGACGAAATTGAACCGGAACGGCGAAAGAGGGCACCCTTGACGAGCACCGCTGCTGGTGAAGAACGGCCTACTTAGTTCGTTGTAAACCCTTACACGACCGGAGGTCTGTGAGTACAGTGACCTCAGTAGGTTAACGTACTTCTGGGGTATTCCATTTCGAAGAAGGGAGCCCATCAGAGCTTCCTCATCAACTGAGTCGAAGGCTCCTTTCAGGTCAAGGAACACTGCGATCGTTGACCGACGGTGGATGTGACGCAGCTCAGAGACCTGACGCAACGTAAAAATTTGATCAATACATCCACGGCCAGGCCGGAATCCGGCTTACTGTTCACGGGCGTTGGTCTCTCTTAAAGGCATCAGACGTCGAAGTATAACCGAAGCTAGCACTTTGGTGACGATCGGGATCAAACTGATCCCGCGGTGGTTTTCGCATTCGTTGCGACATCCTTTCTTGAAAATGGGAACGATCAGTGATTCGCCCCAAGATGAAGGAATGTACTCATGCATCCAAATGTTGCGCAGTAGGGTAGTAACATAGGTTACGAGGTTATCACCTCCCATCTTGAAAAGAGTGGGAGGGAGCTCATCAGGTCCTGCTGCGTTTCCTCGCTTCAGAGCTTGAATGCAGGACCGAACTTCTGCTTCCGTTGGAGGATCGCATGCCACTGCCCATGGAGCTTCAGTTGGAGAACAAGCAGCCTGGTTAGCACTAGGCTAGCTGAATCTTTCGCTGAAGTATTCTGTCCAGCGATCGAGTCGTTGATCCCTATTTTGAATAGCTTGTTCCCTCTTATCGCAGACTGTTTCACTTGCTGAAGTTCGCCGATCTCCCGTACTGCGTATCAGTCGGAAAGGTCTTTGACTATTCCCTGATGCAGCTGCTACTTCACTAGCTATTGTTGCCCAGTTCTCACGGTCCTTCTTGAGGCTCTTCATGAGCTGACGTCGTAGACGCCACCTAACTCTATTTTGATCCTGTCAGGTCGGGACTTGCCGTTTTTGCTCCATCAGGGCTACTGACTCCGACGGGTTTGAGGCTCAGACCCACAAGCAACATTCGCTGCGGAATGCATTGCTTGCCTAATCTGATCCCATTGCTCGTCTACATCCCCACGATGAGGCACACTTAGCTTACGCACAAGCTCTGACTCCTAGAGTGCACGATATATATCAGTTTCCTTTCCATTTTTGTCATTTGGTTAAGAGATCCTTGAAAGGCGGTCTTGTCATATGCACCATGTGTGCAATACGGAGGTGATCGGGCACGTCAGTGAATGTGTACTTCACGCATCAGGAGACTATGTCCAATCGTACGCATTTAAATGAAGAATTATGACATGAGATTGATCTCTTGGTATAAAATTAAGCAGCAGAGATTTCATTGGGTATTTTTAAGGTAAAATGTAACTAGGGCGAGGCGCTACCTTATAAGCACTGAGCTCCCCGTTTCATTGACAGACACGTTCATCAATAGATGGTTACCATGACAATAGTCCCCGTGGTCGAAATGGCGCAAACTTTCGCGAAAGAAGTTTTATCTGCAGTTTGGTTTCATTCTAGTCCCACTGGTAGCTCAGTTTTTACTTACTGATTATCTGATTGTAAAACAATCACTCACTTTTTGTCAAATAATAATTTATGCTTTTAAGTTAATTGTCCGAATATATTTCACCTCAAATATATCCAAGAAACTTGTACGTACGTCTATGTCATTAGATCGGTCGGTTTGCGAATTTATTGCTTGCCTGCAATTGGACAACAGTATGCACCTATTTATGGTGTGTTTGGATTACACTGATTAACGTGCACCGGTTTTATTCCATTACCAAGTAAAATTGGCGAAGACCACTGTTTGCACAGTGAGTACCACTCGGATCTTGAAATGTTGCATATCATTCCCATGTGTGTGTGTGTGTGTG